ATTTTGTACCCCATGATAGAAGCATAAAAAAAAGAGGGCTGGGAGAGCCTGGGCCTGAATGTTTTTCTGGAGAATTCTCCTCAAGAGCTTTCTCAGAGCCACTGCTATTCTGTGTGAGCCACTCTCTGCCCTCCTAAGGGTGTCCTTGGTAGCCCAGGCCTAGCCATCTCTGGGTAGCTTGCTCTGCTCTGGAAACCCAACTTTCCCCCAAACCTGCCTCTCTAGTATGGAAGGGCTCTCAACAATACTCTGGCCGTGGTGATAGGGGGTTGCGGGGGGGGGTCTTCCTCCTTTGCTAACATCCTGACATGAATAACGGGCACTGGACATGAAACCCTCCTCTGGTTAGGAAGAAATCAGGCTGTGGTGGGCTGATGTGTAAAAATTTTGGAAGTCTTTGAGTTTGTGAAAAACACGTGGATTAAATGGATGACCCCTAAATTAAAATAAGAATTCATCAGTCCATACTGATATAAACAAATGGGAAGAGAAAACTCTTCCTTACAGTAGAACTCCAGTAGTAAACGCAGAAGAAATGATGGACATGAATAATCAACATCAGACAAACACGGCACTAACAGTTGCTCCAGGCATCATCATCACAGGATTCCAAAATGAGTGGGCAAATGTGCGATGAGAAACGCAACGTTTACATAGTCTCAAAGTATTCTGCACAAGACACTTCGTAATTACAAAGAGAAAAACAGTAACTCCACGTGGAGAAAGCTGGCAGGGACGCCCTTTTGTAAGTGATCCAAGTTAATATAATCAGTAATTAGATAAATCATCACAATGTGCCACCTGAGCTGGTGCGCAGAGAAGGATGAAATGTCACTTGTATGGTTTTCTTGCCACAAACGCGTAACCTAGATTTAGTTAGGAAAAAACTAACTAGTTTAGGCTACTCAGGAGGCTAAGGCAGGAGGTTCATGTAAGCCCAGTAGTTCAAGACAAGCCTGGGGAACACAATGAGACCCCATCTCAAACAAAACAAAACAAAACAAAACGAGACCACAGGTAAGCTGAAATTGAGGGTATTACACAAAATAGCTAGTCAGTACTCTTAAAAAGCATCAAAGTCATAAAAGATAAGTAAAAGATAAGCAATTAATTCAAGATTAAAGGAGACTAAAGAGATCTGACAGATAAATGCAAGATTATTAGCTTCTGGACCAGAAGAAAGGTATCAATAACATCATATTGCCTTCCTGATGTTGACAATTATAATTATATATTAACATTCTCTGGGGGAAGATTATATGAGAATTTTTGTTCTATTTTTTGACAGTAAACTATTTCAAAATGAAAAGGAAAATTATATATGAAAATATGTAGCTTATATTTTGTTTTTTGAGACAAAGTCTTACTATGTAGTTCAGGCTGGCCTTGAACTCATTATGTAGCCCAGGCTGGCCTCAAACTTGTGGCGATCCTCCTGCTTCAGCCTTCTGAGTGCTGGGATTACAAGTGTGCACCATTATACCCGGCTTGAAAACATGTATTTAAGAACAGGCTTTCTTACAATGCCCAGTGCTGATACGGTAAAGCTTTGTGGGCTGACTTTCAGTATGTCAGGACTCAATATGGGCTCAGCGCCCAGATATGAAAGAGGAATTAGGATCCATTGTGGGGCCTTATTACAGTCAAACTCAGGTTTCTATGATTGGGGCAAAATGATAACACATAGACTTCCAGCGTGGGTCACAGGTATGTCAAGTCCCTCCTTCAGCTTCTGGAAGGAGTTGTGCCCTTATAAGATACAACCTGAGGAGAAGGGCTAGAAACACAGGCAGAAAACAGTAAAATGTCTGTCACTTACTTGTCCTGGGACTCAATATATACATAGAGATGAGGCTCAAAACACTTGGAAACAATACCGTGAAATGGATTGTCTGGGGCTTTAGGCTTCTTTGGCTGTAAAGAAAAAAAAAGAAAAGAAAAGAAACATGAAACCCTGTATTTGAGCAATCTTTGCAAATTCTCAAGCAATTTTAGAAAATATATCACTTCAAAATTCACTCTTAGTTTAGATAAGAGAGAACTCAATATAATGAAAGTGGGAATGTCGCCTGCACTAGGATTGCTCTGGTCTGTGAACAAGACGCTGGCTTTGTTAGTGTCATTTACTTGCCTGTATGATGAAAGATTTACTGCGACTTTGATAATACATGCATTTTCAATCTGGAAGCTATTCATCACTTGACTAATGTTTTAAAAGTTTAAATGAATGACCTTCTTAGGAAACGCACACTGAAATGTTTAGGGGTAAAAGGTATTATGTCTACAACATTTCCAAATTGTTCTGTAAGTAAGAGGATGGGGGGATAATAAGGTAAATATAGCAAAATGCTAACAATTGCTGGATCCAGATGACAGATATTTAGAAGTTCCTCATAAATAGTGTTTGAACTTTAACTAAGGAAAGAAAAACAAAACTAAGCCAGGTATGGTGGCACACACCTATAATCCTAGCACCTGAGAGGCTGAGGCAGGGGGATTGATGCCCAGCCTAGGCTACATAACGAGTTTAAAGCCAGCCTGAACTACATAGTGAGAACCTGGTCTCAAAAAAACCAAAAACCAAACCAAAACATAAAAACCACGGGGGAATGGTGCCCATGGCCTGGCAGAGAAATTAAAGCAACAGCAGTGGCATTCTTAAGAAATGCCCGCCACCAACATTCTGCAGTGCAGAGAATGACACTGAGGAAACAAAAACACAGGCATCCAGGCTTGAGAACCAGAAGGTCAATTTCCTGGTCCTGATAATGCTGTCACCACTGGGGGAAGCTGGGAGATAGGTACACAGCATCTCTCTGTGCTATGTTAGTAATGTAAGTTAATAAGCACTGCAAAATATAAAGTTAGTTTTTCAGTTTTTTGATTTCATTTTTTTTGAGACAAGGTCTCACTATGTTGCCTAGGCAGGCCTGAAAATGCTGGGCTCAAGCAATTCTCCTGCCTCAGTCTCCTATAACACAGATGGGACTACAGAGCCCACCACAGCACCCAGTAAAATCGCACTTTGAAGTAAGTGGTTCTGAAGAACTGGACTCTGCATGTGAAGAAATTTTAGGAGTTTCTTAATCTATTTATTTTGCTTATAGTTTCCTTTTTATTTATTTTTTGTTTTGTTTTGTTTTTTGTTTTTGGTTTTTCTCCGGTACCAGGAACCGAACTCACGACCTTGCGCCTGCCAGGCAGGCGCTTTTGCCGCTGAGCTAAATCCCCAGCCCCAGTTTCCTTTTTATGTATGCACCAAAATGGTACGTAATTACAAAAACAAAAAACAAAAAACACTGTGTCTGAAAAAGTCTGAAGGGCTCATTTGAGAAGTATAAAATACAGACCCAAAGTGATAAAAGAAAATGGTTTCCTGACACTCCAACAAGCTCAGCTTGATCAGTCTTCATAGGTGCTTGAGGAGGCCCCACAGAAAACTCGGAAGGAGCACCACCAGACAGGCTCACGCCCCCACCCCACCCACGGGTGACTGCTCTGCGCTGCCTCTGCAGTGAGGAAAGGCTGCTGTTTCTGGCATCGCAGCACACAGGTCTTGTGGTGTTTCCAGTGTAAATTGAGGCAAGAGAAGAATGATGAGAGGGACTGCCTAAGTTGCATTTTCTTAGTTTTCTCCCAAGAGGGCTGCCTTCTGCCTACAGCTGCTTTGTGAATGTGATTGTTTTGAGATAGTAGACGCTGGAATTTCTGTTCAAATTGGTGTCTCCCTTTGCACTCTGCAGCTCCCCAAAGGGTTGATCCTCAGCTTAAAGAATATACTAAGTCATTTAGCAGTAGCATTCAGGCTGGATTTCTGAGTGTGTGAATTCTGTCCAAAAGCTGCAGACGTTTAAGCCATTTCCTCCTGGAGTTTGATGGAATAATAAAAGGTTACTGTTGTCACAGTAAGGAGGTCTGCAGCTGGTCCCATTTCCTTTCATTACTATCCAATGTAAACAGATTAAATCTAACTGCTCAGATCACCAGAAGGGTACATTTTTAAACCAAAAATTCCTGATTTATTTTCCCTCTTTCAGTACCCTCAGTCCCCTTTGAGATGTCATTTTTTTTGTCACTGGGAATATCTTGGCAACTAATTATTGGAGCCCTTTTATAACCCAAACACTGCTTCTCAAGTTCACTCTGCCTTCCCACAGCCAGGTGTAAACTGCAGTAGTGAGTGCAGAGTGACCCTGACCTCGAGGGCCAACCGCCTCCTGACTGCAGCAACACAAGGGCTTGGTAACCCAGGGGAGTCAGTAGAGACTTCCCCAACCACCTCCAGCTGGTTCCTGAGAACATCCTGTGGAGTCCTTCGCCAGCACCACTATGGATCCTGCTCTTCTGTGCACCTACCTTCAGAAGCCAGTAGGGTGCTGGGAAGAGGAAGACCCTGGGTCTCCACCTAGCCAGCTAGAGGGAAGACAAGTGCTGATGAGATGACAGTGGAAGGTCAGAAGTTACACTCAGGAGACATTAGTCACTAATGTGTGAATGTCATTACTAATGAGGAACAGCCCATGAATTACTAGTGATCATCTAGTACAGCAGTTTTTCATTTTGCATCTTTTCTTTTCTTCTTCTTTTTAACAGATGTGAAACCCTAGATTCAAAAGAAATTTTACCTGAAGTCTACAATACAAAGTTCTGTATTGCTCTGACTGTTGGGACCTAGGTCTCCTGTCTTTCCCAACTCTGCACAGGACATCCAACAGGGCATTGAGGAATACAGTCTGAGGACCATTATTAGCCTTCTCTAAAGATAAAGCAGGGAAGTCCAGAGCGAGGAGATGACCTGTGTAAGGTCACACAATCCGCTAGCAGAAGATCACAGTCCAGCATTTTATCCATCATGTGAGGCTGCTTTACCATGTGTATTTGTCAGATGTTAGTGTTCTATGTCTTTAGAATGGGCAGGTCTTAGTCTTACAATAATAATTTGAAAATTTCATGATAAGTAAAAAGTTCCCACAAAAAGAAAAATCATATTTTACCTGTCGATACTGACTGCACAGGCAATGAGGGGCTCTCATATTTGGTGCAATAACATCCAGAGATGGCTGGCCATGGGGATAACTTTTCGTGGCAATGCTAGAAGCATCTGAATGTTCAACTGCACAATCTGCATATGACAGTGGCAGCTACTAGCACTGTGGGGACATGGGAGCCCTGAAAATACCACAATTGCAAAAAGCATGCTCTTAGCAGCAAGCCCAGAGAGGGTATAGGAAATAGAAGAATCAGATTCCCCACCCAACTCCTTGCTCCCAGTGTGAGAACTGCATTTCTTTAAATAGAAGAAATCTCTTTTGCTCCTGTGTTTGCCAATAACACGATGGCTTTAAATCAGCTACATGTATTCCTACACATCTCTGGGATACTGCTTCAAGATAGCCCTTCAGTTTTGTTCATTCACTTTTTTATGAGCTTCATTTCTCTGCCTTCCACTTTTTAATGAGACAGGACTGTACCAAACATAAGAGCCTGGAAAAGGAATTCTGGCCTCTGATTTCTAGACTTGGCCTCTAGCCTTAGCTCCTCCACTTCTAAACTATGTAACCGTGGACAAGTTGTTTAGTTTCTGAGCTACAGTTGCAACACTTATAAGACAGCCACTTTGAACATGAAATGAAATAAAGCATGTAGAAGATTTTTAAATTGCTGCTGGGGCATGGTGGTGCACATCTGTGATCCCAGCACTTGGGAGGCTGGAGCAGGCGGATTGCTGCAAATTCCAGGCCAGCCCGGGCTAGTTAGTTCAAGGGCAGCCTGAACTATATAGCGAGACCCTGTCTCAAAACACATGCGCACACACACACACACACACACACACACACAACCAAAAAAAAAAGAAAAAAGCAAGCAGGGTTAGCTGCAAAGTGTTGTGCCTATGGGTTTCCCAATTCTGGTCTTTCCCATTAGCCTCCTTTGGGTGGTGTCTGGAGCAAACTGATCTAATAAAAGAATCATCTAGCAGCCAAATGTAGAAAATGTAAAAGGATCACTAATCCAGAAAGGAAGGAAATGTCCTGATTTATTGCTCTAACCTCTCTTGTCATAAAATGGCACTGAAACAAAAACACTATTCTGTAGGATGAAGGGAGATGAAATTTAGAGTTGGCAGAAAAAAAACTGAAGGAAATTAAAGTGCCTGTGTGCTCTGAAAAGTTACTCTCTAAAGACGCCATTGGTCACCTTGATATTTCCAGGCCTTCCCAGTGGCTTCCAGACCTAAAGCAATCAGCTTGGGATGTGCAGAGGCCTCTCCCAACCCATGGTGCTGCTAATGCCCCGGGATCTCTCACATCATCACTGTGCCAGATGACAGTACAACGGAAAGCTCTGCTGACAAGCTCAGGAGATGATGAATGAGGCAGAGCAGAATTTGGCCCTGTGGCATGGGCTGATTAAGCCTGTGCATGTTGCTGAACGCTGGCGGTGAGGCTCTTTGGGAAGACTGAGTGGGGGCAGAAAGGGCTGCTCTTTCTCTCAATTATCGAAATGCACTCTCAGATAAAGGCCCTCCATAAAGACCCCACTGCTATAATCTCTGAATGTGGTCAACAGCCAATGGCTCATACTTGAAGAGAGCCAACCATTTTCAGAAAAGAACAACAGGTAGGTTACACATGGCAATGCAAAGAAGACTTACTTGGTCTAACTCTCCCTTCTCCATTGCCAGCTCCTCCATCTCTGGTGTTGGCTCGTCTTCCAGGAAGGGATTGGTAGATGGTGGTGGAGACTCCAGCTTTTTCTATTAAGAAGACATGAGAAAGAAACATCTTCTGAGCATACTCAGTAGCTTTTCCATGGATCTTCCCATTGAGCTTCTGCTTTTTCCAAGCCCCCTCAATAGCTGAATTGTGAAATTTGATCTTATAAATTAGAATAGAGGCAATGTGGACCATAGTCTAACCTCCAGACCTTCAGTTGCTTTCCTTCTGGAAACTTTATTATTCATCCCATTATAATTCTAATCTGGTAAAAATTCTCACTATCCTTCAGTCTTCAACCTAGAAGTCCCATCTTGTGGGAAATATCTTTATCTGTTAAGTCTAGGTTAGATGCCCCTGCTTCAGCAACAATAAAGAAGTGAATTAATCTGGGCGTGGTGATTCAAGCCTATAGTCCCAGCTACTCAGGCAGCTGAGATGGGAGGATCACTTGCTCCCTTCCCACACTGCAAAGCCCGCATGCAGTTATATAATAAAATACGCACCTGCCCATTTATTTTCTCCCCATTAGATGCCATGATGGCAGAGATCATGTCTGTCTTGTACCCTATGCTATCTTTGGTGCCTGGCATGGAAAAGGGGCTCAATAAATACCAACAAACCCAAATGCCAGGTGCGTTTGAATTCCACAACAAACTATAAAATAATCTCATGTGTTCTAGAGTACAGACAGAAGTCCTTTCCCAAATAAGTTTTACAACAACCAAAACTGAAATCTCCATGAGAAAAACTACTTCCCAGCTCCCAAATACAAACACTATTTCAAAATACATTGTTGAGAGGGCCCATGGACTAGTGGGAAAGCTGTGGGCAGAGACACTGATTTTTAACTCCAACTTTGTTCTGCTTGCCAAATCATCTAGTTTCCCTGAGCTACAGGATTTTCAACTGCTGAACGAGGATACAGACACAGGACTATGTGTGGGATCAAATGTAATAAAGTGTGTGAAATTCTAGAAGAAAGGCCTGATACATACAAGGGTCACTGATGTTAATTCCAGTGCAGCTACTGAATCTAGCTCTTTGGGGCTCTGTTTGTTTGTTTTTGTTTCTTACAATTTTGACCTAGAGCTACTGTTTATTCCCCAGATGCTGGGAATTCTAAGAGAAAGGAAGCTAAGCAACAAGCAGCATAAAAGGGATTCAGGATTGGTTGGTGCCAGGGATGAGGCGAAAAAGCAAGGGATGGCGCCCTAGAAATAGGAAGCTAAGAGAGAGTTTCTAAATGTGCTTGTGAATTAATCTGGGTGTGGTGATACACCAGTAGAGCAAGCTGAATTAATCCCTAAGCCAAAAGGGACAGCAGATGGACTACAGTGTGAATGACTTTGCCAAGTGCCAGGACACCACATGAAGGTATTACAAAAAAAAAAAAAAAAAAAGCAAAACTTCAACAACAAAAACCCCATCAGGGTCTGGTTTGGGCTTTAAGATAATTTTGCTTACATGCATTTAAACCACTCAAGTTCTTGTCCAAAACACCTGGAAATGCTATTGTGTGAATAGACAAGAGCCTAAGCATATGAAGAAAACCTTGTGTTGCTTGTATTAGAATCATTCACAACACAATCATTTTTGCAGTATTCTGGTGAGAAACAGTATTTTTGCAGTACTCTGGTGTGGTCCAACAACCAAACAAACATTCCAAATTTGCAACCTCTGAACTTTGGCTTCTTTCCCTGGTATTGGGAAGGATGGGTGAAATCCCTATAAACTTAACGTGGTTTTTAGAAAGGAATATATTGAAGCTTTAGTTGTGTTTTTAACAATTGCTGCTATTTTGGGGAGAGTCATATAGCTTAAGCTTCAGCAACAATAAAGAAGTGAATTAATCTGGCTGTGATGGTTCAAGCCTATAGTCCCAGCTATCGATGGGAGATCAACTAAATCTAGAAGTTAAAAGCCAGCTTGGGAAACATAGTGAGACCTTGCCTAAAAAAAAAAAAAGAAAGAAAGAAAAAAATTATATTAATAGCATTAAACTCCTGGTTCTACTGTTTTGTTTGTTTGTTTATTTATTTATTTATTTATTTTTGCCTTTTTGAGACACACTCTCACTATGCAGTTCAGGCTGGTACTGAGCTCACTTCGTAGCCCAGGGTGGTCTCAAACTTGCAACAATCCTCCTCCCTTAGCCTCCTGAGTGCTGGGATTAAAGGTGTGCACCACCACACCTGGCTTGGTTCTACTGATTTAAGAGTGGGTTTTGGAGCTGTACTACTGAGCTGAGTCACTATGATTCTGAGTCTTCTGGAGCTCCACAGATATGGAAAGCAAGCCAGTTAACTAAAAGCTTTGTTCAAAATCATTCAGTGATAGAAACAAGATTTGAATTTTTGAACTAATATCTCCCTCATCATTGCTACAGTGACTACGGTTACATTCAGATAAGCCTCACTTTTAATGTGTTACTGGAAATCATAACAAAAAGTAGATGTCAAGGAAATGGGCTCTGGGCTCTATTCTACCTGCTGGAAAATGTCAAATGGATAAAAGTAAGAAGTAGCGCAACATAAAAGGTAGCACTGACCAAACAGAATGACACCTGAGGCAGTGAGCATGGGCTACCTGGGCCCTTTCCTTCTTCTAATTGTCTCTATGCATATACTGATGAAATTACCAGGGGAGTCACAGACACCCGGGAATTCCAGTTCTTTCATATAGGGCATGCACTTTACAAGTGTGGACCAAGTTGGCAATGAGAGAAGTGATTCACTCCTTCATTCACCCACTCAAAAAACTAGTGTGCAGGGTACTTGGGAGAAAGTAATGAGCAAGACAGACCCATTCTGCTCTCATGAAGTTGACAGGCTGCTGGAGGAGACTAGCTTTAATCAAATGTGTGGTAAGGACTTAAAGAAAAAGCAGAAGTTATTACCAAAGCATGTGGCAGAAGGTCAGAGAAAATGTCTAAGTAAATTATATGTCAGCCAGAACTAAGGAATGTCCCAAAGGTAAAAGTGTGTGTGGAGGGGTGGGCAGGGTGGGGGCAGGGCAGAGTTTCCTAGGCACAGGCATTCGTGTGTTTGTTAGTTAATAGCATTAGTTAATAGCATCATTCATTCATGTATTGAGCATCTGCCATCTACTCTATCAAGCACTTTTCCTTGGACAAGGGATGCAAAATGAGTAAGGCAGACAAGAAAGGGAGGAACTGTGATAGAAATGTAATTTTTAGGCATGGGGAGCAGGCTGGGGATGAGGTGGGGAAGTGCTTTTTAAGGTGATTAGAGAGGACTTTTTAAGGTGGTAATAGTCAAGCAGTGATGTAAATAAGGAGAAGGAACTGACTGGACAAAATTTAGGGACAAATATTTTTAACAAAGGGATCTGGTGCAAAGGCTGCACAAAGCTTAGTAAATTGAAGGGCAGAAAAGAGGACAAGGGCCTGAGGTAAGAGAGAGAGCAAGAGCCCAACTGCATAGCTTTTTGTGGGCCCCCAGTAAGGTTTCTCTTTTCATTGCAAGTAAACAGTCTTTGCTGGTTATATAGGGAAATGATAGGATCTCATTTGGATTTTAGAACCAGGCTCTTGCTGTGTTGCCCAGGCTGGCTGTGAACTCCTGGATTCAAGCAATCCTTTTATCTCAGCTTCCAGAGAAGCTGGGGCTACAGATGCATATCTAATATGGGCTTTAAAAGTATCATTCCATGGTCGTAGGGAGAGTGGACTGTAAGAGAAGCAAGAAGCTCAGTTTCTGAGCTTGCTGCAGTGTTCCAGGCAGAGCTGATGAGGAGTGGACTAAACCAGTGATGTGAGGATAAAGAAAAGTGGTCAAATCAGGACATATTTAGGAGAGAAGCCAAAAAGACCTGAGAAAGCAGAGGTGAGGGAAAGGAGTTGAAGCTCATTCATTTTGAACTGAGCCACTTGCAACTTGCGTGCTGTGGACTGAGATGGGCACCCTTATGCAGTGGTGAGGGTGCAAGCTCTGGATCTGACAAACCTGGGTTCACGCACAACTCCACCACTTGGGAGTGCTGCTTTACTTCTCCAAGCCTTATCTGCAACTTGGACGGATAGTAATACCTGGCTCACAGAACTATCAGGAGGATGAAATGAGATACATATATACCAATGTAGATTAACACACTGCCTGACACATAGGGAAAAGCTGACTAAATAGAAGTTTTCATTTATATTTAATAGAGATAAAAAAGTATAAGGCAGAATTACCATTCTCTCTGCTGTAGTCCTAGGGATTGAAGCCAGGGCCTCTGGCATGGTAGGCAAGTGCTCTACAACTCAGCAGCACCCCAGCCCTTATTATTTTTATTTTATTTTGAGACAGGGTCTTGCTAGGTTGCCCAGGCTGGCCTCAAGCTTGGAATCCTCCTGCCTCTGCCTCTTGAGTAGCTGCGATTATACACAGGTGTCACCCTGCCCACTTGTGCCTGTCTTTATGAAGTAACTCATAAAAGGGAAATAAAAGAAAGCACAGGCTGTGAGTCTTGAAAAACAAATTTCTTTTAACCACCACAGGTGAGAGCCTGTCCCTGTTTCTTGTCTCCTGGATCTCCCCAGGAAATGAAAGTAGTGGGCCCTCAACTTGCAAGAGCAAAGGTGCACTGAACCGCTTCTTTCTTCCCTGCTCTACAAGAGGCCCTCAGCTCGTGCATATACTGGCAAATACTGTGTTTCAAAACTCAAGATGTGGATACAGCCGTCTCCTATTCAGCAGGTTACGCTACTGTTCAGAGTAACTGGCTCTGCTGAAAGAACAAGTCTTTGCAGATAGCAACCATGGGCGCAATGCAGTCTTTTGTGCAAGAGGCCTGTTGCCAGATCCACCTGGGTCACATTCCTGCTTTGCAGCTATCAGAGACCACAGAGAATTACTAGTTTAGGTTTGGATATTAAATAAATGAAATGACATGTTCCATACACTCTGGTGCTGCTAAAGGAAATTTAAAAATTGCTGGGATGTGAATGACTTTCAATTTTAAAAGATTTCATTCTTTCAGCTATGACAGTTGATCTCTAGCCCACACAGGAAGGTAAAATTCTTTATAGAGCAAG